TGTGTGTGTGTGTGTGTGTGTGTGTGTGTGTGTGTGTGTGTGTGTGTGTTTTATTTTTCAAGACAGGGTTTCTCTGTGTGTGGTCATGTCCTGGAACTGGTTCTGTGTACCAGGTTGGCCTCAAACTCATATTGATCTGCCTGCCTCTGCCTCCCAAGTGCTGGGATTAAAGGGGTGTGCCACTACTGCCTGGACCCCCAAAGTCCATTCTTAACTAGGGAGAGTTAAAAAAAAAAAAAACCCTAATATTTGAGTGCTTTCTATTTGCTGAGCAATATGTATTTCAGTTTATATCACCTAATTTTCAGCAAACTCCTAACAGGTTCATCTCAAAGATAAGAAAACTGCTCAAACTTTGCCTAACGCCCCAACTAGCATTTATATTGTAGGACTGCACATGGGTAACCTCATGCTCCACTTTTAAACTTCTTATGTTGTTCTCTGAAGTATCAGTCACAATGACCAAGAATTTCATCAGAATATGGTTCAGCATCTGCCATTCTGCTTTTAATCATTGGGGGAAAAAAAACTCATACACCTGATGAGGTCAATGAAGAACTGGCAACTAGTCTTTGTATTCCAATTTCTTATTCCAAGGGAACCAGAGAAACTCCCACCCAAATTCAAGTATTTTTTTTCCATACTGATTCAAGAGCAATGATTTCCTTTTCTAAAAACTAAACAAGAGCCACCTGTCAGACTGGAAAGGGTGCAAACAATTTTACAAATGGAATCATTTGTAAATGATTAGAAAAAAAAATGCTTTTAGTTCTTTTATTTTCAAGTTAAAGACCTGTTTTGTACTTTGAGCATGTACTTTACATTATACAGGAAGCAGTTTGACCTTCCCCCTTTTAAACTCACTTTCTCCAGAATCAAGGAAATCCACCAAGTGTCATTTGAGACTTCCTAAGCAGATTTTAAGGATGGCTTTCTGCCACTAGCCCTTCTGTCCTCTCATGGAACACTATGGGGTGATCTTTAATAGATGATTCTCCTATGCTAAACCACTTCTAACATACTGAGGAGAACACATTGCTTATTAGGTCAAATGAGATAAATAATTGGCATGATTTCATATTACCTCTGCTAAAATGATACCTCTTCTGTTTTTAACCCAGAAGCCAGTTGGATTTTAATAGGAACTGACAAGACATTTATTTCTAGTTTAAGTCTTAATAGCAGGCCAGTCTCTTGGTCTAAGAACATGTAGCCAGCATTTTCCCTAGAGTAGTGCATTTGTGACAGAATAAATAGCCTTTTTTCAAAAAAATGTCATTAACTATTGGTCAACATATATTTAATTGCATGTAATAAAAGGCACTGCAATTTAGGATTTTGAGTTAATAAAGTATCTGGGCCAATCCTCAACATTGTAGGTCATCTCCACATTTCTTTGCACAGTTTGTATCTACCCTTTGCTTGACAAAAAGGCAGCTGTTACCAGAGGACTCCAATGTTTTGCAAAAATTCTCCCCTGACAGAGCACAATCAGTGTCTCTGTGGCTTCAGTGTGGTGGGTTTCATTCTATCTCTCTGAAGTATCTTTTAATTATATTTCTCTCTCTGCCATGCCCCACAAAAATTCAGATAATCTTCAACTATCTTGTGTTATATTCACTTACACCACTAGTTATCCCTTTATTTTTAGTTTCAAAGAGGGGATCACCAAGATAGCCATAAGCTCATATCTATAGTCCCAGTGAGACTGAGGCAGAAGAATTAACATGAGTTCAAAGGCAGCCTGAACTACATTGTGATTTCTATGTTAGCCTGACTGACATCTGGTCTTTTTTTAAAAAAAAAAAAAAAAAAAAAAAAAAAAAAAAAAAAAAAAAGGCCTACCAGAAATAATTATAACATGAAAATCCTTTGATTTAGGAAGGAGATGAAGTACCATCTACATTACTCAATATTAAAGGCTGACCTGAAAGGATAATATTGTAAGCCAATATTGCCTGTGTGTACAGTTGTAAGGGAAAGGCAACTTTCCTTTCAAACATAGATAAATTTGTGCCACAGGAACAAAAATCCCAGAAGAAAATACATTTTCATTTATTGTTGTTTAACAATAATTGTTTATGTGGAATACATTTTGTCAGAAGGCTGAGATGTGAAACACGCCTGTCAAGACCGTGGTTGAAGGAAAAAAGTAAACCCTTGCAGTTAAAAATTCTTTAAAAAAAAAAAAACGCATGCAAACCCACAGTTTCTTTTAAAAGCTAACAGGAAAGTGATCCCTAATAAGTATATATGGCCATGAGATGCATAGCATTCTGTAGGACTGAGACTTAGAAACTTACCCTATCTTTAAGGCCACTGGTATTGATACATGGGAGAAAAACAAGTTCAAAATGATTTGCAACTGTTAATTTTTTTTTTTTTTCCAGAATTAGTCTAACTGAAGTTGATACTATGAGATAGCTCAAAGAGGAGACTGGCAAATCCTTGATCTAACCCTGGGAGTCACTAGGCTCCTTCCAAGGTGCACTTTTATGAACAGAAGATAAAGACTCTGCTTCCTCCCTCTCCATCAAGCCTCACTGCTTTGAGTCAAACATCTTGTTTTGGTCAGTGGTTTCTTAACAATTTCAAAATCAGAACTTGACATACTGTCTCGGGCTAATAAATTTCAGTTTCGTTTTTAGTTACTGTCTTTCCCCTTAGGGAAAGATGCTGACATAAAATGACTAAAATATGGAGGGGAGGATGAAAGCCAGAAAAAGCTTACAGGTCGATGCAAAAGATAATTGGCTCTATATAATTAAATAATAGTGTAATGCAACAGATCTAATAAAAGAAAACAAAAAAACACAGCTTTGTGTAGGAAAAGGAGAAACCCGCTAAGTTCTTTGAGGACACAGTCTATACAAACCCATACCAGAATATTACATGATTCCATAGATCTTTTCCAAGCATGACTCTATAACCTGAACATGTATTTTCGATGGAAACTACAAAATATTGCCACATATTTGATAATTTTATTAAAACAAACAAACAAAAAACCCCAATCATCAGGAAATGGAAGAAGAGATGGTCTTGTCAGGATGAGCTAAACTACATTACATAAACCAAATCTTGGGTTTTTCACCATTAAATAGTTTTATGTAAAAGGGACTTATCTGAGCAAAAATTGCCCCAACAATGAGTATTAGGCAAAATAAAATTTATGTTCTGTCCTAGATTAAAATTATTCTTTCTGAAGGACCAGTTTAATGATTTCCATTTAAAAATAACAAGCAAGCCAAACACAGTGGTGCACACCTTTAGTCCCAGCACTCAGGAAGGCAAAGGCAGGTGGATCACTGTGAGTTGGAGGCCAGCCTGGTCTACAAAGTCAGGAAAGCCAAGACTACACAGAGAAACCCTGTCTCAAAAAACCAAACAAACAAATATCTTGGCACTGAATCATTTATTCGACTGGTATTTATTGCACCTACAATATTGTAAAGGATTGTTCTCAAACTTGAGATACATCACTGAATATCCAAATGCCTGATCTTAAATTCATGGAACTGTGGAACATAAGGGCCCAGCTTCTCATGGGGCCACACTAAATGGTCGTGTTGGTGACTGATTCACTGAAAGACATGGAGGCCCAGGGGGACAGAGACCTGAAGTAGGGCTCTTGAAGCTCCTTCTGAACCTGAAGGGGCAGATGGGATGTCATAATCCCTAAGCAATGCAAATAACATAACAATAATGTGACCACAAAAGCTGTTATTCTGGAGCTAAATTAGTCCAATCTAACAAAGCCCTTGAAGTTCACAACACATTATTCTTAAAATACTGCTGTGAGACAAGGCTGAGTCATCATATGCTGAGATCAGAATTTTGCAGTAAAGAAAATTAATAAATCTAAATTTAGGAAAATTCACAGTAAAAAGATAAATTTTCTGTAACCTTGATTAGTTTATCTTCTGATGCCTTTAGTTGCTGGCTTAATAGAGAAGTAAAGGTAACTAATTATGCATGATTTTTATTTTCATTAAAGTGATTTCTTTCTTCCTGTATAAAGGAAAAGCAGCCCAAACTTTTAGGAAGCCTTTCTCTTTCCTATAGAATTAAGAAAAGCATAGTGACCCAGTCACAATACCAATGACTGGAAATAATACATGTGAAAGAGATTGGATATTACAGAATCTGCTAGAAATGTGTTATCAATATCCTGCTGTGTTGACTCACTGCTTTACAATTCAGTAGCTTTCCAAGAGTGACATGTCAGGTCCAAGATTATCACCATCAATACCAACAGTGGAATTACATGTCATATCCTCATTCAATGATTCATCACTCAGTTATGCTATACAGCAAGCTACAGAATCACCTGACAACATCAACAGCATACAGATTTAATTTACTGTCGCAATTTGCTCTGATGACAGTGAACAAATTGGAAGGTATCAAAGCATGGCGCTGAAGAAACAGGAACTCATTAAGCAGCATGTCTTCCAATTTGAGTCCTGTTTTATAATTGGCTAAGTAAAGGCATATATACCTCCATTTGAATTGGAGATTTCCAGTAACACATGCATACCAGCATGGAAAGGAAAGAGAAAAAGGAGTAGGAAAAAGAAAGCTATACAGAGATACCAGGGAAAAAAAGGTAAAGGGAAAAGAATGTATGGTCAACATTAATATAATACATGACAACTCAGCCTGCTTCCTGAGCAGGACTTTCCTAAGTTCACTGAAGATACAAAAAAGGTTTGTGAGACTTTTCATCTGTTGCTGTTCTCACTTTATTATACTAAAAATGTCTACAAAATTCTAAACCTTGGTCTACCCAAGGATAGTTCCAGAAAAGAAAAGGTGTGACCTGTTACAGAGGACTGTGCTGTCTGGAACCTGGCTCTTGCAGTCAGTCCATATTCCACAGTATTTTGGTCATGTCTGCTCTGATTTTTCATGCTACTCAAAATGTCTTACAACTAATGTTCTTCATTAGAATGTCATCATCCACTTGGATTTTTCCCTATTTTTTTTTTTTTTAGACTTTGATTTACTTAAAGGGCAGGAAAACTATGAAAGAATAAAAGAAAATTAAGAAATTTCAAGAAGAATATGAAAGAAAAAGGATTCTCATGTCCAAACCAATCCTAGAAAAGGTGGTAATGAGACTCTGAAAAAGACTGTTGATTCATGGATTTCCCCCATTTTATTTCTAGGTAATATATCTAAGGGTATCAATGTACTAAAATGTTTGGTCTGTGAAATAGCATACTCATTAGCACCAAAGAGTCATGGAGCTTGTATATATTATTAAACAATAATTTTTACTGTTGGTCATGAGAAGAGTTTCCATTTTTACATCCCAAAGGTTTTGAAAGTGCTTGTGGACAAAAGAAATAACACTTTTCAAAATCTCCATGGAGTCATCAGTAAGTACTACAGAGACAGTACTTGGCATTTCCAGTTTTGGTTTACCTGGTAGACAAGAAAACCATGGCACCAAATTACCACTGAAGCCTAAAAAACAGCCCCACGTGCACCCGCTGACACGCAGGAGAGATTCCTACAGCATATGATCCCCTGCACTGTGTTCAGGAATGCATTTTTACTTGCTTTTTTAAAAACAAAAGCAACATGCTCTGCAGATCATGGAGCGCTTAGTGCAATTTTCTCCTTGCTCCAATGCCAGATTGCAAAAGGGTGAAACCATTATGTGTTCTGCTAATGCTGGCCTGCAGGCAAGGCCCTTGGCCTGCATGCTTTGTAAGCTCTGGAGCCTACAGGAGTCAGAAGGTCCAAGAGAGGGAGCCATAGTCATTGCCAGATTCCCTAGCAACATACGGCCCACCAAGGCAACTACTGATTCCCTTTGATTCTCTTTGCCTCTCAGCCTTTAGTTGAAATTACAACAAGTCAAATAGCTGATGCTCTTCCCCTCTCCGGGTAAGGGTGAAGATACATTGTTCACCAGTGTGTTCTGTCTTGCTTCACTGATGAGTCGGCATGCTAAGTCAAGGAAGAGTTTCTCCACATTATCAGATTCCTTGGCTGAAGTCTCCAGGTAATACATGTCCTGAGCCTCAGAAAATTCTTCTGCTCTCTGCTGGGAGACCTCTCTCCTTTCAGCCAGGTCAATCTTGTTGCCTGTAATGATGGCAAATCAAAAAAAGTATTATCACTTGACTTGTTTCATCTGGGAAGCATCACGATTTGATTCCAGACCTGAAGTGGATGGACAGATTAAACAGATGAGCAAGTAAAGCAAAGCAAATATGACCGTGATTGCAGGAATGTTTACTTTAAAATACCAGTGCCATCTGTAACAGCAAAGACTGGAAACAACCCAAATCCTTGTATAAAGTACAATACATGCACACTAGTATTCAACCCTGTAAAGAAATAACAGTGAGGAATATTCTATACAGTGCCATGAATTGAGAAGTATAATCTACAACTGCCTAAATGGAAAACATAAAAATTCCACTTTTGGCAGAGCAACAGAACAAGATAATTTGAACACAGGGAACTTCCCAGAGACTCATACTCCAACCAAGGACTATTCGTGGAGATAACCTAGAACTCCTGCACAGATGTAGCCCATGGCAGTTCAGTGTCCAAGTGGGTTACATAGTAATGGGAAGAGGGACTGCCTCTGACATAATCTGATTGGCCTGCTCATTGATCACTTCCCCCTGATGGGGGAGCAGCCTTATCAGGCCACGGTAGAGGACAATGCAGCCACTTTTGATGAGAACTGATAGACTAAGATCAGAAAGGAGAGGAGAATCTCCCCTATCAGTGGACTTGGGGAGTGGCATGCATGCAGAAAGGGGAGGGAGGGTGGGATCGGGAGGGGAGGAGGGAGGGGCTTATGGGGGGATACAAAATGAATAAAGTGTAAATAATAAAAAATTAAAAAAAAAAGAAAATAATAAACCAAGGCTGTAATTTAAAAGACAATAGTCAACCAGAAAGAGAAAAGTAGAGAACATACAGGCAGAAGCCAGACGTCTCTGGGCATATTCTGCTTTACTGTTTTGACTTTAGAAGTTCATGTTTTACATAACAACGCAATTATGTAATTAAAACAAAATTTAAATTTAAAAAGTAACTATAAATATTAGTTTGTCATAGTGGCATAAGTACAACAACTATTTCAAGTGAATTTAAATCATCATGATTAACCCTGCATCCTTAGGTGTGTACACTAAGGACAAAAGGCCATTTAAGGACAAAGTCTTGAACTCATTCAGTGGTCAATGGCAGAGCTGGTATTGGGATTATGAGGCTGCTATGTGTGTATTGAAGGATAAAGTAATTGTGTTGATGTCCCTTGGAACTGAGATATGAGAAAGTGAAATATGAGTATGAGATTAGGTAAATTTTTGACAGCTTTAAAATATTAACCTCAGTATCTGTCCAATTAACTCGGGGTATATTTTACCTTTTAAAAGTTTTCTCCTTTTTCCAGGTAGGTTGACATCCATTACTGGTGGGAGTACAAGCTTGTTACACACTATAGTATTCAGTGTGGTGGTTCTTCAGATGGGAATTGATCTACTTCAAGGCCAGCTCTATAGACTCTTGTGCAAGACATTTTATCCTACCACAGAGACACTTGCTCAACCATGTTCATTGCTGTTCTAGTCAAAATAACCAGAAACTGAAAACAACCCAAATGGCCTCAACCAAAGAATAGATAAAGAAAATATGGTATATTTACACAATGGAATATTATTTAGCCATTAAAACAAAATGAAATTTTAAAAATTGCAGGTAAATGCCTAGAACTTCAAAAAAAAAAATCATTCTAAGTGAGGTACCCCAGATTCAAGAATACAAATAATGGTATGTATTCACTTATATGTGGATATTGGCTATTAAGTCAATGTTAACCAAGCTAGAATTTATAGAATCACAAAGGTAAGATATAGAGTAAGGGTTTAGAAGGAACAGAAATATCTTGTTAGGAAAGAGAAATAGAATAGATAATTATGGGTGAATGGAGCGGGAATGGGAGGACCAAGTGGGGGAGGTAGGGGGTGATGATGGAAGGAATACAGGGAGAGACAGCTAAAGGGCCAGTTGAAGAGTAGTATGGAAAACTAATACATTCATGCTTCCTAAAATATATACATAACTAAAGGCAATCTCAATGAAGTCACATTGAGATTAATGGGGGAGAAAAGGTCCCAACTGACCATCTGTTGTTACCAAAGGAAGCTTCCAGTACTGGGATTGCACTACATCTAATTGCGTTGTTGGCCAACAGGGATCCCAGTGGATCCTCCAACAGCCCAGGCTGTTGCCAAGACTATATATAGGTTGTTCTCCACAAACTGACAGCAAGGCCCCATTGCTGCAGACAACACCTGTATAACTCATTTAGCTTAGAGAAGTCAAGCTGGTGCCTACATTGAACATTCACCCCTATATTGTAGCATCTTTGGCCCAGCAAGGTACAATGCACACTACCAAAAGAGAAATGTAAACACCAAACCAGCCACAAACCCTTTGGTCTACAATGCTGTACTGCCTACAAGATAAACTAGGGCAGTGGTAGTACAAAGTTTGTGGGAGTGACCGACCAATGTCTGATTTTACTTAAGGCCCACTCCACAAAATGGAACCCATACCCAACACTGCGTGGGTGGCCAAGAGCCAAAGACCGGATAGCCTAGAGTCCTAGAGTAAAACCTGTTCTTTAAAGGAAATTAAAAAGTAGCAAGAAAATGACTCCAAATGACATTCTGCTACAATCATAGATCAGATCAGTACCTCTCTCAGCCATCACAGAGAAGCCTCCTCCTGCAGCAGAAGAGAACAAATACAGAGACCACCCCAGACATGCAGAGAGGGAAGGACCTTGGAACACTCAGCCCTAAACAGGATGTCTCCATCAAATCCTTACCCTCAGGGCTCAGGGAACCCTGTGGAAAGAAGGTGGAAAGAGTTTAAGAGCCAGAGGACACCAAGAAAACAAGGCCCTCTAAATTAGTATGAACTCAAAAAGACTGCGGCAACATGCACAGGTCTTCTGAATATATGTTTGGCTTCTAGTTTAGTGTGTTCGTGGGATCTCTGAGTGTGCAAAAGAATGGATCTCTGATTCTTCTACCTCCTCTTGGAATCTTTTCCTTCTGCTTATCTTGTCCAAGTCTACTGTGTTAGCTTTTCTTTTATCTCATTTTATTTTATTATCCCGTAGTAGCCTGTTTGTTTTCTGATGAGAGACAGAAAGATGAGAATGGCAGATGGGGAGGAACTGGGAGGAGTAGAGGGAGGGAAAACTGTAATCAAAATATGTGAAAAAAAAAAATCAATTTTCAGTAAAAGAACAAATAAAATGTTTGCTCACCTTACTGTTAGCCATAATTTGTAACTTAATGATGTGTTCTGTAGTTTTACATATTTCTAAAATTCAAGTCATGAGACTATACACCAAAATTCCCTCGTAGGCAGAAAATATTTTAGCAAGTAGGTAGATAATGCTACTTTCCTATCACAACTAGAGTTTATAATGATGTTCATTTTACAGGACCCTTGTGAGTGCATGTAGGGTGTGTGTGTGTGTGTGTGTGTGTGTGTGTGTGTGTGTACATACATAAACATGCATTCGAAGATCAAAGGTCCAGATCCTTCCTCAGATGTACCCCACCTTGGTTGTGTTTTTATTTTTGTTTTCTGTGATACAGTCTCTCAGTGAGGACTCCATGATTAGACTTGGCTGGCCACCAATGCTCAGAGGTCCAGCTATCTCGGCCTTCTCTGGGATTACAAGCAAGGGCCAGAAGTCCCAGGCTTTACTTGAATAGTAAGGATCTAACTCAGGTACTCATGCTTGTGCATCAAGTACTTTACCAGCTCACTTATCTCCCAGGCCCCTGTGATGCCATTTTTAAGGAGTGAATTTGCCACCATAGAAAATCAAGGGCTATTTTCTGGTTTTCTGTCACATTAAATAGACTCCCTCTTCCTACTAGATGAAACCAACTGCAGCATTTCCCTTAGTGGATTTCTGAAACACAGGAGGGATGTCTTAAGTCAGCATACAATAAGAAGAAAAAAAAAATTTACCAAAGTCTACGTTTAAAAAAATATAACTGCCTCAATATGAATTCCTCATAAACTTGAAAGATTTCCTTTCCTTTCACACCAGCAGTATCCACTATCTTATAGTTCTTTCACCTATATTGATAGGAAAATCAGCAATATTTTTGTTTGTTTTTCTAAATTATCAGTTGTATAACAATGTTGACTATATAACTCCGGTAACAATATACTATATTCTTGGAAGGTGGTAACACACAAACATTACTTGATCATAAATTTTCTGCTACACTCAAATCAATTTCCTTCTTTATTAGCCCTTACTTACCCACTAACACAGTGATGACCTTATTGCTGGCATACTGTTCTATCTCCCGCAGCCACTCAGGAAGGCAACGGAAGGATTCCTCACAGGTGATATCATAGGTAAGGATCAAGGCATTGGCGCTTCGGTAATAACTTTGGGTGATAGAGCGAAATCTCTCTTGACCTGCAGTGTCCCAAATCTGTAGCTGCAGACACAGAAGACAGGAATCAGCTTGGAAAAGCACAAACAAAGAACATTGCCACACTATAGCTCAGCAATGGGAATATCAGCCAAACAATTTATGGTTCTTCTCTGCCCTGAAAAGCATATTCTACTGTCAAGTGTTTCTGGTTTGGGAAAAGGACTTACTCTCTTTCCCATTTTTGATTGTTTTTAATTTAAGACTTCTTTATTTATTTAAAGACATAAAGAAATGAATAAAACCAAAAAGAAAAAAAAAACCTACTATACCTAATTTTGTTCCAAGTCTGTACTATTCATTTTATATGTAATAACTCAGTCTTTGCAATAACCCTATGAGGTAGGGTTATTATATTATGTATGCTATTAAAATACACTTCCCTCATCAGCAAACTAAAGTACAGTTAGCTCTGTTAACTTGCTCAATGTCTCAGACAATTTGGCACTCAAAGTGGACTCTGATACACACATTGCAGTAAAGGGCGAACTGTTGTTCTGTGCTCGTTGGCATTTTAGTCATCAACCAAAAGAATGAATATACAGCCTCCCCAACATCCAACTTTTCCAGTTTAAAATGCTAACGAACATATCAAGACATTATCACTGTTAATGAAAATAAAAATGGTGGGGTTGGAGAGATTGCTCAGTGGTTAAGAGCACTGGCTGCTCTTCCGGAGGTCCTGAGTTCAATTCCCAGCAACCACATGGTGGCTCACACCATCTATAATGGGATCTGATGCCCTCTTCTGTCATGTAGGCTTATGTGAAAATAGAGCACTCATGAATAAATGAATCTTTTAAAAAAAGAAAATAGAAATAGTGCCATTACAGTCATGTCTCTCCACTACACACTAAGATCTATGACCTTAGGTCATGTAATCCTTTTGTATTCCATTAGATAGATAGATAGATAGATAGATAGATAGATAGATAGATAGATAGATAGGAGAAGGGACAGGAGGGAGATAGATAGGCAGATGAACAAAAATATTTAATAGGGTTTGATAAGTCTACTATTTGTAGACTTATTTGTAGACTTACTAAACATGGTTTAGTAAGAAAGAAGGAAAAATACTTCCCAAATCTCCTCTTCAACCTTCTGTACAGATGACACAACAAATGAGAGGCCTGTTCTCTGGACACAACTCTAAATATACAGCAGAGCTCTATATTACACCAACAAAGCTGGAAATCAGACTCCATGTCTTCTGTTCCCAGTTCAGAACTCAGTCTGGCACACCCTGTTGCTTTTGCCATTGCAAGCTTATTCTGGTGGACAGCTACATCCAGCAGTTGCTATGGCCCCATAGCAACTTAGCTAAAGACACAGAGGAGTAACCGGTAGGCTCTTGCCTTGAGCCAGTGCACACATTCTCCTTTGATTTGAAGTTGCAGCAGCTCTTTGATGATATAAAGTCTGTGTGTGCTAAATACAAACATACACATGACTGTTTGTGCTGGAACAAAAGCTATTTCTCTTCTCTGCCTCAAAGTAGGGCCATGGTATCCTTCTGCCAAGATATGCCTTAGAATAGCAGACTATTGTTTCAAAGCCCCCTTTTGGCCTCTGAAACACTTTTGACTGGATTTAGATACTGTCAGTCATTAGAACACACTGTTCATGACTGGAACATCTTGGGAACTGCTTTATGCATCAAAATCTTTTCTAAAATAGTGATTGTATGGCCTTGCCAAAATCTATGCCACCTTCTCATATAGGACTGCCTGTGTCTAGCCTGAGAATTGATTATTAAGGATGCTTATATTCTGTCAACTATCACTCAAATTAGTTTTATCACCCTTCTCTATAATCAATTTTTTTTCATCCTTTGTAGGCACCAGACATAAGATGAATAAAACACAGCCCCTGATCTAAGTGGTGATGGTCTACAAAGAACCCAAATCTACAACTAATTAGCAATGCCCTCTCAAAGAGGCACCAGAAGAACAGAGTATCTGCAAATGTTAGTCTACGACCTGTCAATGTGTCCTCAAAACTGCAGCCCTGGGTTTCCTTGCCACTCTCACCTACAGCACAGGGCTAACTACACTGCTCACCAGCTCACTAACTGCAGCACTACGCTTCACTATCACAGCAATGCCTTGTCATCAGTCTGCTGGGCTGTCCTCTCTCATGAACTGAGTTCTCTGAGGACCAAGACTGTCTCTGACTTCAGACCTTTGTTTTCTTCCTAACATAGTACATAGTGGGCACAGTTGAATGATGGTTAATGAGATGAACATAGGATTGTGAACAAAGGAGGAAATGATTAGCTGTTCTTGGATTAGAGTTTAAAAGATCTCAGACAGAATGTTGTCAGACCTGGTATCAGTAAATATCAAAGGCAGTGATGCTTCATCTACCACAATGCTCTGCTCTAAGCATCAACTGCAACACAAGACAGACAGACAGGCAAACACAGCATCAAAAGAATAAACATTTGAGTCAGGTGGTGGTGCACACCTTTAATCAGCACTCAGGAGGCAGAGGCAGGTAGATCTCTTGAGAGATAGAGGCCAACCTGGACTACAGAGTAAGCTTCAAGACAACCAAGAGTTACACAAAGAAACCCTGTCTCAAAAAAACAACCAAACAACAACAACAAAAAACTCTTTTATTATAATCAGACTAAGGCTAAAAGATAGGCTAACCTCACAGCTTTAGTTACTACTCATTATTTTGTGATAGACTGAAAAACTCAATGGGTAGGGTTGAAGATCATCTTCATCTTTTTTCCTTATGCACAGTTTTCTTTTTTCTTTTAATATCTCATTCAACATGTTGGGTTAGAAATGAATCATAGGCAGCTTTAACTGTATGGACTAGCCAACTCCCATCTCTTATGAAATGCTAGGAATCTAAAGAGGTGTTAATGGAAGCAATTGAGCTGTGAATATAAAGACGAGTACAATGACAGCCTGTTCTTGGAGAGCCTGTGGTCTTGTGGTAGAGTCCAACCCCAAAAAGATGGAATTTTAGTCATGTAATAAGCACTTAAAAATGAGGTCAAGGCTAGCAAAAATGTTCCAGTGAGAAGGACCAAGTTTGATGCCCAGACTCAAGGTAGTAGAAAAAGAACTCCTACAGGTTGTTCTTTGACCCATGCTGTGCTTGTGTCTAAACACACATACATACACAGAGACACAAATAAGTAAAAATAAACACTTAAAAAATAAAGCCATTGTTTGCAAAACTAGAAAAAAAGAAATGCCTACGCTTGAAATTCACGAATGGAAAAGAACCTGTTCTGTAACCATGGTACCATTCCTTATTTTCTCTTGTTCTTGCCCCAAGCCAAGTACATGGTAGGCACCAACAGTTCACTTCACAGAAATGAACTAACAAGTGCATATGCAAATGGGAGCTCATACTTAGGAGGGAGACTCATGAAAACGTGACTGTTGCTGTCTACTGCCTTAGGCTGGCAACTGCCTCCTCTGGAATAAAAGAAAATCATAGAAGGTTCTTCCTGTCAGTATCTCGTCAGCCTGGTCCTGTCTCTTCCTGTCCCCACACCCTAGCTCCTTTTCTTCATTTCTTACAGTTTTTCTGACCTTCTAGTTGGCATTAAAGTAGATTTTACAGCCTGATTTTATTTTTCCAGTATCCCAGCTTTCTGTTCACCATTATACTTTGTATAGATGTCTCTATGATAAAGACAAGGGAGCTAGAGAGACGGCTCAGAGGTTAAGAGCACTGGCTGTTCTTCCAAATGTCCTGAGTTCAATTCCCAGCAACCACATGTAGCTCATAACCATCTATAGTGAGATCTGATGCCCTCTTCTGGCCTGCAGGGATACATGGAGACAGAGCATTTATATACATAAAATAAATAAATAAATAAATCTTTACATTTTTGTTTGTTTGTTTATTTATTTATTTATGTGTGTGTGTGTGTGTGTGTCTGTCAGTGGATGTGAGCTGAGTGTAGGTGCCTGTGAGTGTAGGCCAGAAGAAAGTGTCAGACAGTTGTGAACATACCTACATGGGTGCCAGAAACCAAACTCAGGTCATATACAAGGGTAGTATGAACTCAACCTCTAAGCCTTCTCTCCAGCCCTTTACTTCATATTTCTCCTAACCATCACCTTCCTCCTTTTCTTGCTGCAAGGTGATGAGGCTATTGTGCCTTCATTATCCTCTTATCCCACAGGAACCCCATGGAGTTAGAAGAGTATAGTAAAGTTTGCATCCTGCTCATCTCCCTTCTGGACTACAACCATGATTAAATAAGTCAATAAAGTAGCCTCTGGCACTTGTATAATAAGGACAATGCCATCCACTTCCCAGAGATCATACTAAGAATTAAAGTAACAATGGCAACATATGTGAAAGCATCTATCAGAGGCACTGACTTATAATACATACTTAACGAACACACTACCTCCTGTTTCAATACTATACTTCTAAGTACCAAGCCATTGAGAAAAAGTGGAAGACAAACTAGAAGTCAAAGGTCCTCTCTTGGACATATAGAGGTCCAAGATAAAGGTATAGTGGGAGACAGGATAATTTTAATAAGCTGTTCATGTGACTGAATTACCTACACAACCTAAGTGAAGCCCTCTAAGACTTAGTGAAGTGTGGGGATCAGAAGGCTTTCTCAAATAGGCCTTTTATTTAGAAGAGAACTGTTATTGGTCCAACTTTCAATCTAAAGAGAAATTCCTACTTTGTTTTCACATCACTTATATGTGATATAAAAGGAAAATGTGTTCTCCTCACTGTTTTCATATCTAAACATATCATCCTTAAATTCATTCTGCATGTTTTTTTCTTTTGTGATAGTTTCTCATGTAACCTAGGCTGGCCTCCAACTTGCTCCGTTAAGGATGACCTTGAACTTCCTATGGATCCACCTGACTCCGAGTCCAGATTACAGGGAAGCACTACCACACCTAGTTTTATGTGGTGTTGATGGTTTAATCCAAGCTTCTTGCATACTAGACAAGTATTCTGGCAGCTCAGCTCCACCCCAATGTACTGTTTTCAACATGGGCTTAAATAAGACAATCTAATAAATGTTATAAAAACCTGATTGCACTTCCTCCCCTAAACTCGTAGAGAACACAACAAAGCTTTACTAGTATTTATTATTTAGCTTCTTACCTTTACTTTTTCACCATTAATCTCCACTGTCTTGATCATAAAATCAACTCCAATTGTGGCTCCTTGACCTGGGGGGAAAAGACCCTAAGGAAGAAATAATGGCATGTAACACTTAAGCACATCTTCCAATTAAGTGGATTCTTCTCACTCCCCACCCCATTCTTTGACTGAGGTAGAAAAAGAGTAATCTGCTTGGTATCATGTTTGGAGAGGAAGAGAGAGGGGAAGGGAAATGGAGAGAGAAATGCTGACAGAAGCAAACACAGAAAAGAATGACAAAGCATGAGGCCGTAAAGGAGAGAATCTGGAAGATGCAATGCGTGGTGCTGGTTTCAAAACAGAAAACTCAGACACCAGGATAAGACTGGGGAGGAAAGAAATCACCAGAATGACATCAGGATAGTCAGGATGAGGAAAGAAAAGGTAAGACTATTTAAAGACAAACACAAAAGTAAGGTGTATTGGACCTCTGCACGGAATGATAATAGAAAAGGACAGGAAGCTTCCAAGTTTTCCTGGGCCCTCAGGACTGTCACCAGCCTGAGGTATACTGCAGCATACACACAAATATACACACTCCAAATGAACACACAAACAGTTACACATAGTCCAGACACACACACACACATAATTACAGTCCAGATAGACACATACACACAATTACATACAGTCCAGACACACACACACACACACAGTTAATCACAGTCCAGACAGACATGCACAATTACAGTCCAGACAGACATGCACAATTACACACAGTCCAGACAGACAGACACACATACACATACAGACAATTAGACAGTCCGGATGGACACATACAGAATTACACAATCCAGACAGACATATATACATGCACACACAATTAGACACAGTCCAGATGAATGAAATGAAGTCATCATTTGAGAAATGATCAGCTGAGAAATGAAGTCATCAGAAATACAGCAGAGTAGGAGAAGCAGCATCAAAACAGGAGGCAGCAGGTGACCCCAGACAAACCACTACCCCTGTCTAGGCCTCAAAATCCTTGAGTTTGAGGTTATTGTAAGCATGAAACAGGAGAAAATTGCTTTACCTTAAACTGGAAACATAATAGCTTCATGAGAATAGGGACATTAGCAAAATCAGAGGTATAATTCAGTTTACTTTTTCATATTTCCTGTAAGCTTAGGGAGAGGGTTGGGGTAGCAAGGACTTCTACCAAGAAAAAAAGTCTTTACCTAGTCTCTTCCCTCTTCAGATTGCAGAATTCCAGGAATAAATCAAAATGGATTTTATTAGCTTTTGCAGCTAAGACTGGGACATCTTTAATTAAATCCAATCCCTAACAAGAGAGTTCCTTAATTAAAGTTGAACTCAGAACACTGAGCTTAAAACCAAAAGCAAACGCTTCATTGCATGTCTGCAAATGATGTAAATATAAACATTCATAACTTTATTTACAAATATTGAATCAATTTTCCTTTTTGGCAGGGCTCAGACAGAAGGCTGCCAGGCTTCAGGTTTGTAGCTCCAGCTGTTTGCAGACTAGCAAATGAGGAAAAAAGAATCCTTCCCAATGTCCCCCCTCCCCACTTTGTTCCCCAAACCTTAATGCCTCAAAACCAGCTGCATTCAATTCATTTTAACTGCTTACTTGATAACAAAAACATACATAATTCTGTCTATGAAATATGAACGTTAGGGAGAATTGAAGGGATAGAGAGATATGAAGTAGACACAAAAGAAAAACATGAAAAACACTTGTGGGTAAATTACTAATCAAAAGTAAAAGCACTTTATCTTTCACGGCAGGGTTTATCTTATGAATTTAAGAAGAGGGGCTCAGAGGATAGACAACTGTGGAGAGATTATTGAGCCAATGAGCAGGAGACCAGGGAACCAGCCTTGCCAGCTACACACCTCAAGATCATAATAAACATGTCAGTGGGTCCCTCTGGATCTGTGTGAGGACTGGATTGAATAATCTCTATCTCTAAGAGACTTTTCAGTAAAAACAAAACAAACAACAGCACACACACACACACACACAAAAAAAAAAACACAGTCAAGCAAGCTCTAATAATGCACTAGAAAAACAAAACCTTTCTGTATGGAAAGCATGTAGTCAAGTCCTCCTTAGAGACGCAGGAAAGGCTGCTAAGGTTAGGGGATGTAAAACCAGCTGGAGTTTCCAGTAAGTCTCCGTGATAGTTGACTGAACGCCAGACGCTGGTTGACTTTTTACTCGTGATTTCATCAGACCAAACTTTGGTGAAAACCTGGGCTCTTGTCTGAGGTCACTCAGCATGGGAAAATCCTTGACATTTCCAGCAACTGTGGGCCCTAAAGTTGTTTGCATTGCCCAATCTGTCACTCCAGTTTTCCACAGACTGAAGTGAAAGGGAGCTTGGAGTTTACTGGCCAGTCACATGCAGCAGGGAGGCCTGGCAAGGGCCAGTGGACAGCAGGGGCCAGGACGAGCACATGGGCTTAAGACCTTGAGCCGTGCTCTTTCTATGGCACCAGGTCATCTTAAGAGCTCATCTCAATGTCCCCAGGCTCCTGTCACAAAAGCACGCTCTGTGCATGATGAGCATAATGAGATATTTCAGTGGGAAACAACACCAACTCCAGAATGATTTTTCACTAATTTCTGTAGAAAAACAACTATGTAATCTTGGCCAGTGACTCTCAAGAGTCCAGCCTAGGAAGGACTTGTACTTTCAATTCCATTCAGGCTCCTCACTGCCCTCAGCTTATTCCTACTGACCAGACTTAGACAAGCAGAACGTCTGGTTATAAACCAAAAGAGCGTACTTTGTTTTTTTTTTTGGATGAGAACAGACATAAGCAGGAAAGCTGAGGTTTAATCTGCACTGGGGCTGTTTAATGAATATCTGGACTCAGTTTAATGCCCAGCTTAATGTGTTTCCACTTTTAGATGATTATGAACTAATGATCTATTTTTCAGCCAAATCTATTTTTGATACTGCACACTGGAAACAAAACCACCTGCCCCTTTTGTAAGAGGAAGCAAGAGAAGGTGTGGGAGAAGACCTCAGCACCATTCTCCCTCGGGCAATTTAGAAACGACCTTCGGCTATGAACTCGAGGGAGCTTTCCAAGGGTGCTTTATGAACTTGCAGCCTAAGCTGGGCTCAGTGGCACAGGCCTGTGATCCCAGAACTCAGGGAGGCAGAGGCAGGCGAATGTCTGTGAGCTGGAGGCCAGGCCAGCCTGGTCTACAAAGTGAGTCCAGGACAGCCAGCCAAGGCTACACAGAGAAACCATGTCTCAAAGCCACCCACACACACACACAAACATACAAAAAAAAAAAAAAAAACAACAACAACAAAGAATCTTCAGCCTAGAGGTTGGCCCTAGACCCAATCACCCATCCAGCAGATGGTCACCAGAAGACAGGAAGACAAACAAACCCACCCTGGATTCCAGATCCCCTTACCTGAGTGAATCGCCGGACTAGGCACGTCTTTCCCACTCCAGCGTTGCCAATTAAAACGATTTTGAACAGGAAATCATAATCTTCCATACTCATTTACACGGCTGTAAGCAAACACAGACAACAGTGAGAGCCTGAGCTTCCCCCAGAGGCTCAGACTGCACCAGCCCCTTCTCCACAGAAACAAGAGGTCTGACTCATTTGCAGAGCCACTTAAGACTCCTCTCTGGTGACGTGGCCAGAAAAAGAGGAACATAGGTATTTGGTCACAGATGGACTACATTCTCCCTAGCTACTTCGTGCTACACAAAGTAAATGACACACATGTCCTTTCACCTGGTGACCTTTGCTCCTCCCAGCAGTCAGGTCATAGGTCTTCAAGTGATAACTGTGTTTTGTGTGTGTGGAAAGTCAACAGCCAGTCTAACCAGAAGCACAGACAAGTAGGGAGAGACCAGAGCCATCCAGTAGACTGTGTATGCCTCTTGGGGAAGAAAATGAAAGCCACTAGGAGATCAGATGGAAGGGGAGGAAATTATGAAAGGCCCTCGGTCTCACACAAGTCCTAGGTTCTTGGGGATCATTACCCGTGGGCTACCATCTTGCCCTTCTCCCACTGCCCCATGTCTATCTGCCTGCTACCAGCCACACTGCTGCCAAGCAGCCTCCAGGGGCGCCTGCTTTCTCATTGCAATGAGCAGTGCTCTACCCTCTTCTTTGCTTGGGACATCCTCCTTCCGGATTCTTCTTCACGACCCAAGCCCTCCAAAGTCCAGTGTAAGCCTCTCATTCCCTCTGATTCTTTCACTCGTCTTCCTCAAATAGGTGATAAAAATCGAGTGATGACTTCCCACCATTCCTCCATCCCAGGACTCCACTTGCTATATTATTTGTTCAAATGTCTGCCTTAACCTTAAGGAAAGGGGCAACAGAGTCACACTCAGTGAATGTCTGCTCTGTGCGTGGAAAGACTTAGTTAATGGCATACTGCTTAGATGTCGGCATTTGCTTCTCCAATTGAACCAACTCAGAAGGTCTTCTGGATTAAAAAAAAAAAAAAAAAAAAAAAAGCAAACAAAACAAAACAAAAAGCCTCTCTTAAGAGCTTAGTACTCACCAAGCCCCATTCTAATGAAAGCAATGATAATCTGAGTGTTTCCTATACATCTGCCCCTAAGGCCAACATGAGAAAGCTTAAATAATAACTATAAAGTAGAATAACATCTCAGCACTCTGGAGGCTGAGGCTAGAGGAACCTTGATTTCGAAGCCAAACAGCTATTTAAGGAGACTGGATCTCAAACAGCAGACGAACAGACAACCAGCCGAACTAAATCTCAGTGACAACAGGCTTGCAGGTGGAGAACCCAGAGTGCAGAACCCCACCTGGGAGGTGATTTGTGTGTGAGTTTCCAAGGTCCTTGAAAGATGACTGATAACCAAGTAAACATGCAGGCAGCTGCTCATAGGGTTGTCTCATGTGACCGGAACTGTGAAGGATGAGCACATCTCTGTGCAAGACTCTGAGCCCATAGACGGTGGCTCAGCGGCTGTATGCCTTGCAGTATAGTTGGCCCTTTAGGTATATTTCCTCGTTTTTCATAGTCTATGGAGCTAACACTGACTAGTTTAATTTTCAGCAAACTGAGGAAAACCAAGGTTGGCTCCAAATCATAACAGAGCCAGACTTCAAAGGAATTCTAACTATGAAAACAAACTATGAGACCAAGGTTGAAATCTAGGCAGTTGTATTTTCTCAGTCTGTGCCTCTAGGCAAACAACTGTCTTCCCCACTAACAAAATGGAGCACATAGCACTGTCATGGAATTGTGGTAGCTGATAGAATCAGAGGTCTCGAGGACCATTCTTGCTCTTGATAAAGCAAACTCCTTAAGGTCATTCTTGTTTCCTATCATGTGCTTTCCATCTCTACTGCTGGAGTCCCACGTTGCTCCCCCTCACAACCCTCACTAGGTGCACTATTTTCCCTAGCTTCCAAACACCATAGACAGGCCTGCTTTTCTCTGCTGACCTTTCTGCCAAGAACAAGAGCCCAGAGCTGCCTGTCACCTCCCCCACCCAGCTAACTTTCACTTCTGCCTTAGATCTCAGCTGAAGCATCACATCATTTAGTATGCTTCTCTGGCCTGAGAGGGGCCTTGACGCCTGATTTCTACTTCCATAATGCCTTCTTCCTCTTACACAGTATTACACACCATAACTTACCTAGGTTAACAATGTACATCTGTCTACTCAACCACCATCTCTTGGCATCTGAATGCTGCTTAAACACAAAACCCACAATGTGTGTATGCTGTGTGTGTCTTATAATCAACACCGTCATC